TAAACGTTGTTAGAATGATATCAGTTTTGATTTGTTTTAGGCTGATTTTCTAAATTTTAGGCAGTGCTTTTACACTAGGAAGTATTTTAAAAGTATTCTGAGAAGTCAGAGATAGGAGTCCTCAGCATAACTGGGCTGATCACAAAAAAGCTAGCCCTTTAGGGATGCCCCAAATATGCTTTTTCAAGAGGCAGTTGAACTTTCTGGTTTTTCTTTGAAGATGTTACACTTCTCATCCAAGAAGCTTCTTCAGCTCAGAGCTGAAGAACTGAAGAAGCTCCTCAGATGAAAAGTAAAATGTCTTCAAAGAAAAACCAGAAAGCCCAGTTGAAAAAGCCCCTTTTGGGACAACCATGACCTGGATGACTGAGAATCTCCATAGTCCTTTAGGGATGGATTTAAGAATTAACCCCGTTTTGTACCAGAATGAATGTGAGCTGTGCCTTTTCTGCAGAAATGACAAAAGTGGTTTCCCTGAGTACTTCATTCCAAGTCATCTTTCATTGCAACTTGTTAGCTATAGTGGTATTCTGAAAAGCAGCCCCATCTGATGTTCCTGGCAAGAAAAGAAAAGTGATACACCATGGGAGAACCTTGTGAATGTAACTCAAAATAATAACCTAGGAGCAGATTTACTACAGACAGCTGGCTGAAGTTCTAACAATCTGACATTGGCACAAACCTGTATTTGGAGAATTATCACTCTCATTGAGAAGCAGTTTAGTAACTTAAAATGATCTGGGATGGACATCAGAGTGACCCTTAGCATGTTTATTCAGAAACCAATTCTATGATATTTAACACAACTCATTCTATGTGTGTGCAGTTAGTTTGTAGATCTATAGCCCAGTTACGTCCATACCCACACCTCCTCAAGAATAAGCCCTATTGGAGTGAAGCGTTTCTCCCAAATTGGCATCAGTCTTGAACTGAGTTACTTATGAGTGTGGAGTCAACACAGAAAAAGATGTTGATTTACAACATAAATCCAATACTGACTTATTAAAAGAAAAAATTGGTTTATTTCAAAAGCTACCTTTAAAGCTTACTTCTTTTGAAGAAGTAATGAAGAAATCATGATAGAAAAACTCCATCTTCAGATTACAGAATAAGAGTTGGAAGCATCCTTGCAGATATTCTAGTCTCTTCTAAACAAGAGACCCTACACCAGTGGTGGCCTATACTGAAAACTAGCCCCATTTCATCACTTCCTGTTTTCCAAAAATACCAGAAGTGACAAAATGGGGCTAGTTTTTGGCCTACAAAGCTTGCAGAAGCCTGCAGAAGCCAAAAAAAGGCCTCAAACTGGCTGAAAATCAGCTGTGAGGCATGTACATGTGCAGTGAGGTAAGTTTGCTTGCAGCTCGCGTGCTGGCACAAATAGCTCTACGTGGCACCTGTGGCACCTGTGGCATAGGTTCGCCATCATGGCCCTATACTATTCTAGGCAAATGGCTAGCCAATCTCTTCAAAAACCTCCAGTGATAGAGCACCTGCAACTTCTGGAAGCAAGTTGTTCCATTGACTACAGGTAGTCCTCGATTTAGATCCATAATTAAGCCAAAATTTTCTTTTTGCTAAGTGAGACATTTGTTAAGTGAGTTTTGCCCCATTTTATGATCTTTCTGGCCACAATTATTAAGTGAATCACTGCAGTTATTAAATTAATAACATGGTTGTTAAGTGAATCTGGCTTCCCTGTTGACTTTGTCAGAAGGTGACAAAAGGTGATGCACACATGACCCCAGGACACTGCATAAATAAATATGAATCAGTTACAAGTGTCTGAATTTTGCTCACATGACCATAGGGTTGCTGCAACAGTCATAAATGTAAAGAACACTCATAAATCACTTTTTTTCAGTGCTGTTGTAACCTTGAGCGGTCACTAAATGAACTGCTGTAAGTCAAGGACTATCTGTACTTGTTCTCACTGTCAGGAAATTTCTCCTTAATCGGATCTCTCTTTGATAAGCTTCCATCCAGTACTTCTTGTCCTGCTCTCAGATGCTCTGGCGCAGTGGTCGCCAACCTTTTGGACCTCAGGGACCACCAAACTCATACTTTTAAATCCCACGGACCACTAGTTTTCAAGGAGAAAGAGAGAGAGACAGAGACAGAGACAGACAGACAGACAGACAGATGGTATTCTGTGATTGGTAGGAAAATGGGGTGGGGAATTTTCCTGCAGACTTTTGGGGGGATTTTCTCAGGGTCTCTGTGGGAAAATCCCCCCAAAAGTCTGCAGGAAAAATACTCAACCCATTTTCTTACCAATCGATCATTCTTTATTTGGGATCATAGGATACCATTTCTAGCCCCGTTTTCAGGGGGAGAGAGAGAGAGAGACAAAGAGAGACTTGTTTGGGGGAGAGAAAGACTTTTGCTGCTTTCCTTGTGTGCAACTAAAAGCAGAAGAAGAAAGAAGCAGAAAGAAGCAGCCCAGTGGCCAGGCAAGTTCCCGCTCTCCGCCCTTTCCCCCCTCCCCTCACTACCTCGTGTTGTTTGCAATACAAGCGATGCAAGCCTTGTGTTCCCGCGGGCCATGTGAACAGCACAGCCTTGTTCCCACAGAGCGTGGATTAATTGCTTTGGTGGGGTGCTCTGGGGGTGACATTTCTCTGTGGATCACCAAAATTTTCTCGCAGACCACCAGTGGGCCGCGACCCACCGGTTGGTGACCACTGCTTTGGAGAATAGGTTAATCCCCTCTTCTCTGTGAGCCCCCTCAAAATTTGGAAGACTACTATCATGTCACTCTAGCCCTTCTCTTTATTATATTAGACATGCCCAGTTCCTGCAACTGTTCATTGTATGCTTTTGCTTCCAATTCCCCTAATTGTCATTGTTGCTCTTTGCACTTTTTCTAGTCTCCAACATCTTACCGTGGTGATCAAAACTGGACACAGTGTCTTACCAATGGAGTATAAAATAGTATTAACACTTCACGTGATTGTGATTCTATCCCACTGATGATGCAACCAGGACTGTATTGGCTTTTTGGCAGATGCAGCACACTGCTGGCTCATATTTAATTGGTTGTGCACTAAAATACCTAGATTCCTCTTACAGTTCATAATAATACACATCCTTCCCACCATAAAAATATAATGCACAATGTTTACATGTTGAAAAACACTGATTACTCATACTCAAGAATATTATCATTGAAATAAGGGAGACGTTGGTCCTATATATTTAATTAAACTACTCCAAGCATGATATTAATCTAGGATCCAATCAGTGGTTCCAAGAAGGTCATGGGGACAGAATGTAACTTTGGGGTGCTTTCCAAAACACAGTCCATGAGATACAACAAAAATTCTATGGTACTACTGTTGGGTACAATATAAGAAGTTGTAATTTTCCACAATATAGAGTAGCATATAGCTTATGAAAGACATATTATACCATTTATATAAGGTTTATTCTTTGTTCAAATTACCTACAGTTAGTATCTTAACATACAGCCACACTACAGCCATACCTCAGAAATAAAGGAACTAAAAATTACCAAAAAAACCCATACTGAAAATGATAACATAATTATAGCAAGAACATTATGAAATAATACGACCAAAATGTTCTACTTTACTGCCAGGGCAAATCATATGTCGGCCTGCCTCAGCTTTCTTTCTATTCCCCACTTTTACGGAGAACACAAATATGCCAATATTGTAGAGCAAGAAATGACTAAATTCACATATATCAAAAAGTGTCACACTTTCTTAGATGGCCTTAACAAATCTATTACAATTGCTTCAGTGGTGGGATTCAATTTTTTTTACTACTGGTTCTGTGGGCGTGGCTTGTGGGCATGGTGTGGCTTGGTGGGCATGGTAGGGGAAGGATACTGCAAAACCCCATTCCCTCCTCACCCCACTAACCTGCTTTACAGCTCCGTTCTCCTGTGCAGGGCAACAAAAGAAGACTCAGCCAATCAGCTGGGACTCAGGAGGCAGTGAATAGATGGGGGGTGGGGCCAGTTAAAGGTGGTATTTGCCGGTTCTCTGAACTACTCAACATTTCCGCTACCGGTTCTCCAGAAATGGTCAGAACCTGCTGAATACCTCTGAATTACTTATTGATGAGGGACTTGTAACCTGTCTCATACAGAAGCACATTTGCATAAACCGCCCCACCTTCTCTCTTTTTTCCTGATTTTCTTTTTGAATCCTATATTAGTCTATTATTCTCCGTATCTCACGAAGTGAATGCCAGCTTATGAGAGTTCGTGCTTTGTTACATTGTGTTAATTAGAAAAGGTGCAACCAGCTTCCTGATTTTTCTCCACCCGACTGTTCTTCATCTTATTAGTGACAACTTACTCCTAAGCTTCATCTATTAGGATGCAAAACTTAAGAGAAAAGGATTTTTTCCCCAAAAGAAAATGGCATGGGAAACATAACGCTATCCCATAGTGTTGTGGTACTTATGTATATTGTATAGCCGCTCTAGTGGCTCTTGGAGATTTTAAGGGATTTTATTTCCCAACCTTTCATATTTTGTGTCAAAAATTTCAAGGTCCGTGCTAAGAGCAATGAATGAAGGCCATCTAACATTTGCGATCAAAGTATTCCATCCCATAATTCTTAATGGATCTGGGTGGGGGGGAGATAGAGGAGAGGAAATGATCAGAAAAGATAGACTACAGATAGAAAATAACATCTCTCCAGCTGTAAGAGAAGGTGAATTTAGAGTTGTTGCAAAGAAAACTCACAAATCTGTGATACTTTTTGTTTTGTTTTGTTTTCTACTTGCAGTCTATAGATCATTTAAGGATAACTTAGAGATCAGTTCCTTAATCATTCTGGGAAAGGTGCTGTTTTCCCAGGACTTTATGACTGCAAGGTGAGAAAAGCTGTCAAACAAGCCACTCCTTTTGTTATTTAGACCCCCCCCCCCCATTTTTCTAAGAGATGTGAATATGCCACTGTATGTTTAGCTATGATGGTTTACATTTATTCCATTGTTCAGCTGTGTTTCTTATATTTATTCCACTACTTGTACCTGAAGAGTTTAACGCAGTGGTTATAACAGTCAGCTACAGCTATCAACCCGTGATCCAGTATGGTGATATCGTTTGGTCCTTGCAAACCCTCACTCACCACAACATCACAGAGGGTTGAATCAGGATTAAACATCACGATGCAGTTTTGACCATGATCGGAAACTAAGAAGTTTCCATGACCATCCACGGTGACTCCAGAAGGGTTTTCAAAACTGAATTTTTTCCCATGACGGGGACCTATGGTCTTCCTCAGGCTTCGTTCCCTGTCAATAATTTTGATGCAGCAGCCTTGAAACCTTCCAAACAGTTGCCCTTCTGCAACCAGCATGTCTTCATTCTGAGTAGATGATGAGAAATTGAAAAAAAAAACAAAACTTATGTGGGTTAACTACAGTAAGTTTACATGAGTCTTTAAAAAAGCATATCCTTCTTCCTGAGATTGATCCAAGTAGGGACAAGATGCTATACAAGTAGCCCACGACATATGGCCACAACTGAGCCCAAAATTTATGTTGCTAAGTGAGAAATTTGTTAAGTGAGTTTTGCCTCATGTTACGACTTTTCTTGCCTCATATGTTAAGTGAATTATTGCAACTGTTAGGTTAGTAACATGGTTGTCAAGTGAATCTGGCTTCCCCATTGACTTTGCTTTTCTGAAGGATGCAAAAGGGGATTACCTGACTCTGGGACACTGAAACCATCATAAATATGAAGCAGTTGCCAAGCACCCAAATATAAACCGCATGATTGTAGGGATGCTGCAAGCATCTTAAGTGTGAATAATGGTCATAAGTCACTTTTTTCAGTGCCGTTGTAACTTCAAATGGTCACTAAATGAACTGGTGTAATCAAAGACTACCTATAACAGGGGTGTCAAACTCAAGGCTTGGGGGCTGGATCCAGCCCGGGGGGTGCTTAGATCTGGTCCATGGGGCTGCCCTAGAAACAGCAAAGGACTGGTCCATGGTGCCTCTGCCAGCAAAAACAGAGCTCAGGAGGGCCATCTGCGACCCTCCCAGGCTCCGTTTTCAGCCATGATGGCCTCCTGTTGCCCTCTGCCAACGAAAACAGGCTCCCGAGCTCTGTTTTCAGCCATGACAGCCTCCTGCCGCCATCAGCCAGGGAAAACAGAGCTCAGGAGCTCATTTTCACTGGCAGAGCGCTTGGGCCACCACAGACACCCCTAACATGAGTTATGTCAAGCTGGCCATGGCCACAGTTGCCGCACCCTCCTGGCCCCTGAGGTCAAATACAACCCTGATGCAGCCCTCAATGAAATCGAGTTTGACACCCCTGACCTATAGTATCTGGCTGGAGATGACCAATATATATGGAGTATTCCATAGAAAGTAAGACTGTTCTTTTCAGTAGCTTTGCCACTGAAATCCACTGACAGTCATCTAGTCGAGTGACACATCAAAAATTGAAAATAGTACTAGTTAGGACCAAACCAGGCTGGGATGCTCCCACAACAGATTTAAATAACGATGTCAGTAGTATACAAGCATATTGGATAGAAATTCTATCTCATTTTCTGAGTTTTCAAATATTTGTGGCTGTTACTTACATTGCTATCGTTATACTTTTATGCTAAGATGTCATACCTTCTCTACTACCAATCCCTCTATGAATGTTGAGCAAACTTTTTACCTTTTGGGTCATCCAATCATACCTCATTGACAGCCATACGCACCGGCCTGTAGAATCCCTCTATTGTCTGTGTCTTCAGGACGGCATTCATTCTCCAATCCACTCCAATGATGTTGATTTTTCCTCCATTTGTCCAGTCGGACACTGCAATTTTATTGGACTTCAGGACTGTTATCCCATATGAATAAGGCCAGGTGAGTTTGGGAGACTTCAGTTCATGGATCAGATCTCCATCCTTAGAGAAGAGCTGGATGATCTTAGTCCCACTGGTCACAAGTAACACACCGTTTTTCATGCAAGTGATATCTCCCAGCCCTTTTACTGGTTCGAATCCATATGAAAAGCGTTGTTTAGGACGACCGTCAGTGCTGTAGATCTGGATACACCCAGAACCACTGTCTTTCACAATCAAATCGCCTTCAAGGCTTGTTGTCAGACTGGTTGGCCAGATCAGCTTCCCTTGATTTGTACCAAACCCACCCACAATTTTTATTAGGGAATTGTAATAAATCTTCTGGATTCCAGAAAGTTTCCATTTGTTATTGAAATGGAGAGATTTTTCTATCTAGGAAACAACGAAAGAAACAGGAAAACAGATTGCCTAGTGATAATTCAGGAATTAGTTCAAGTACTGGATAGCGCACGTTTCTTTCGCTATAGATCCTCATTCTCAGAAGCATAGAAGAATTTCCTCCACCAGGTGAACCACTGACTCCAGCTTTTCTATTTAAAAGATACGTCTCTTGGGCATTTTCAAACGAGATCTTGGTGCTATTTCAAACTAAGCCCGGATCTGTCTGATCTCACAAAGTCAGCTGTCTGGAAAATGGGTCAATCTAACACTGGCTTAGCTATGGAGCATCTGAAATTACAGCAAAGCTATTCTTTACACTTAGGAGTACTTAGCTCTACATTGGTTGTAACTGACCTGTTGTCCCACTCATGAACTATTCCTCCAACTTTTCTACTGCTTTCCCTCGGGTTTTGCCCCCCCCCCCCCCTACCTCAAAGGTTTTGAGTTTACAGAACTGAAGACAATTATAGGTTAACTTCAAGTTGATTGAAAAGAGTTAGGGATAGAAACTGATGACACGGAAATCTTCCAATATAGTTCTTGAGCCGTGGTGGCACAGTGGTTAGAATCCAGTACTGCAAGCTAATTCTGCTGACTGCTGGCTGCTGCAGTTCAGCAGTTCGATTCTCACTGGCTCAACATGGTCTCAGCCTTCCATCCTTCTGAGGTCGGTAAAATGAGGACCCAGATTCTTTGGGGAAATATGCTGACTCTGTAAACCTCTTAGAGAGGCTGTAAAGCACTATGAAGCGGTATATGAGTCTAAGTGCTATCGCTGTTTAACTCAGGGACAGGATGGATAATATCCAGAAACCTGTTTACTGATGGACATGTACAGCTACAATAATTTACCTCCTTGAACATAGTTGGGGAGAAATAAAGATGCCACGCTAACGCTTCAATTTAAATATTAGCAGGTTATCCCTTGGCCTCCATTTCTTTGAGATGTCCCATCACTCTCCCTTCTTCCCCCTGTCTTTTTCCTGTAATTTCCCTCTTTTGTCCATCAGCTCCCATTGTTACATCAATGCTGCAAAATGTTGAAGGTATATGAAGTGGGTAGGTGGAGAGTACAAACAAGGCACAAAGCAAATGAGAACAATCCTTGTACTTTTCATCATCAAGCACTTTCAGGAAATAAGAATCTAACATTTCCTTGGTCAGGAGTGGAAGTTCCTCCTATAATATAATACAGGGAGTCAAAAGGACATCCTATATATTCCAAGATTACCCAGAAGGTTAAATGAGGAGATACAAAGAGAAGGTTAAAACCATTTATTTGTCTATTGAATTTATATTCCACTTTTTCCACCACAGTATATTGCTTAAGATAATTAATAATAATAGAAAAATAAACACTTATTGCAAACCCAGTTTAAAAACCTAATTAAAACTAGGCTTGATTTCTGGTAGTTTCAGGAACATATTAATGTTGTTTTCTTGGCAGCAATCAGAAATGATTCACTCCATCCTTCATTCTTGGTGTTTTTTAACACTCCAGGCTACAAGCCTGGCAGCTCCTGGTGGTCTTCTATCTAGGCAGTAAACAGTTTGTACACAACAGCCACACAACCATATTACTTTTTGTGGCAAAGCCTGCCTGAATCAATCAATCCTTCCTTCCATCCTCCCTCCCTCCCTCCCTCCCCTGACAAAAGGAAAATAATAACACAAGCTAGCCCAGTTTTTCTTTACTATTAATCCCAAAGTCAGAAAATAGCCACTGAGATGAAGGTCACAGGTTGAAGAAGTTGAGGCAAAAGTCTAGGTTGATAGTGCAACAATCAGTAAACATAACATACTATGGTATGTTTTTGTTGCTAAAATTATCCAAAGGGTTACTATACAAAGTAAGGAGTAGTTGTATAAATACTGATCTGCTTGATTTTTCAAAATATTTTGCATAATTCCACCTGCAAATTCAAAAGGCATTTATCTTTCTTTCTACTGTCTAACAACATTGTATTTGAATAGATTAAATCTTTTCAACCAAGAGGCCTTCTAGTTTGTTCTACATTCTTTGTCTACACAACATTGAAGGGCTCACTATAACTGCAGATCTTCAAAGCCTTTTAAATAATACAAGTACAGACTTGTAAATTATATATGTGATGTTTCAGTAATGTAATCGCAAGCCAGTATTTTAGAGAGATCAAAGGAAAAGGGATATTCTTCTTGAGGGATAGTTGGTAAGAATTAATAAAGAAATTGCATACTCATAAAGAGGTGATACTATTTATTAAAGGAATATTTACAGTGCTACTTGGGTTATTTTTTTCCAGTGATCCTCTGCCAGTCTTCTGTAAAATATAAGGAGCCTACATAATGTTTTTCATCGTCCAATTTAATACCAACTCATTATAGAACCATTTAATTTAATAAAGGCAGCTATACTGTACGCTTTAACTTCTTGCTTTATAATTTAGCTATGTAAGTATACAGAATCATTATACTGTATATTTAGGGATTCCACATTTTTGATATGCTACAGCAACTGGTTGGAAACAGAAAAAGAGAAGAAGATTGCCTAAATGTGCGAAGATTGTCTTTAATACCTTCAGGCTGTCTTCTCCAACATATTCAAAGAAATCCTAGTCTGTTCAAAGCACACCAATTTTGGAACATATGTTTATGATCTCCTTAAGAGATTATTTTTGATCCATATTGATAAAATTCTGATTATAAACTTAGTCAGCACCTGGATGCACTGCACTTGTCATTGAGATCCAATTCCAATGGGTTCTTCTCATTACAATTGTACCTGATAACTTGGTCTCTGGAATCGAGGATCAACTGGATATTTCATCTCTGCAACAGAGCTCTTTGCCTGGCCGCGTCTCCTCTTCTTCATCCTCCCCCTCCCTCCTGCCCTTCCTCCAAAATGCATAGTGCTGCTTAAGGAAATGCTCAAAAAAGACCCTCTTGCACTTCAACAAAGTAGCTGGCATCTTCTCTGATCTACTTGACAGGGATGTCGATCTGAGTTTATAATGTATAATGTTTGCTTTTAAGGAGGTCCAGTTTCAATTGTATGTTATTTGTGGATTTTTATCTCGGGAATTATTAACATACATTCTTCTTCCTTTTAAATCAGCAAAAAGTTAGTGGATGTAAGTAGTGAGTATGTAGATACCCTAATTTTAGTGTGGCTTAACAAACATGACTAGGTAAACACTATTGGTCCTGTAGGTTGTTTTTTTTTAATTGCTGACCAGTTTTAGGTCAGAAATAAATGGGTCTTGCAACTTTCTTTCCCTTCGCATCGACTGTCACCCCTTGGCAGGACAAACGATCACTCCCCATCTATCCTGGAATCTATCCTGGATTATCCTGTGCCTTCCAATAGTTCTAAACCCCAACCGAGGGAAGGGAGTTGTTTCAGTTTTCTATAAGAATATCAGTGCTATGATATTTCTGTAAATTTAAAATACCATGACTTAACAAGAGATCAATGGAGCAATATTAAAAACTTTTTATTTTTAGCAATCCAAAATATATCCTGCCGAATAAAGCATCACATTTCTGTATTCTTCAAAAGAAGCATTGCTGCACAGTCATTCTTTAGAGGTCTCCTTTAAAAATATGCCTATATTTGGAGTTTTGGTTTTCCATTAAATTAATATATCCATGTAAATGGTTGGGGAGAAGTTCCTTTTTTTGAGGAAGAGTGGGAATTTTCATTGTTTTTCATTGCTAGTTGCCCAGAGTTGTTTGGGGAATGTTTTGCCAATACCAAAATAGAATTAATTGATTGATTGATTGATTGATTGATTGATATTTCAGTTATAGACACCACTTTTGAAGACAGTGAGACTAATGTTATGTAAGACTGTAAAATAAAGCTTTTCAAAGTAGTATTAGGTATCAATAGTCCTGTAGGCTGTTTTTGCTGTTAAATAAAAACAGAAAAAGAAGCTCTTGAAGCCAAGATTCAGCAAAGAGCCATTCTCACAGCGTCCTTCCATGACTAATTGAAGCTTGTTAATCCTGATGTGTCATCCTCAGATATGTCATCAAGGTGCCCTAAATTGTGCAGATGACAAATTTTGGATTAGAAGAAAAAAGAAAACACACTCACACCAAAATAATTGAAGATCGTTTTAGCTGCCTGAGTAATAGGATGGGGAGGAAGTGGCAGCAACATCACAAGAACTTGTCCCTCAAACTCAAATAGTGAGCTGTTTGAATCATGACAAATGGGATTTGAGGGTGAGCTTTATAAAAAAAAGTAGCCTTGCTAGAATGAGGAGAGAAGATAGAAACCTATGGAATTAACCATTTTCCCCAGTCTTTCTCTCTTCTGAAACAGAAAAATGAATTCCCTTTTGTTACCTTTTGTAGCCTTTTTGCAAGATGAAGAGAGTACATTGAATACTGAAAAATAGAATATCTATGTTCTTTGTGGATATACAACAATTGGGAAAGGTCTGCATTATTGGAGGGCAGTTTGAGCTGGGCAGCACTTAATTGGGGAAGATAATGAAATGAAAACTCTGGCACACAATTGTGCCTCCTGTAGTTTTAGGTGGTAATCTTGGGTCTTGTAATAAAATCCTGAGGCAGTAGCTTAATTCCAAAAAAATGTGGTAAGAAATTTATTTTCTGGATTTCATAAAGCATAATTGAATGGCTGGCTGGTTGGTTTGATTGTTCTCCTTGCTGAGACAAAGCAATTAAAATGGCTTTGTTCTCCTATGTAACAGTTCTAGAAAATTATCGCTTGTTTTCTCTGTCTTTTCCTGCGTACATTTCCTATTTATAAGTATGTATAAGTATGTATAAATACTTTCTTGTTCCTTTACACTGGGAAGCATTCAAAATGTTGTTCCCTTGATCTAATGCCAGGAATCCTGCATTGGCAATAATGGAAAGTTCATTCTTTAAGATAGGTAGGTTTTTGGAAATGCTAGTAGCTCTTTAAAGCTTGTTTGTTGAGTGTTAGCTGCCACCACTGGCTATATCCATGTGCTTTTGGTAATCTGACAGCCTTGCTTACAAAATCAGATTACATCTGTGAGAAGCATAATTTCTGTGAATTACCATCTCCATCCATAGGTACTAGATGAAAAACCTATTTGAGTTACAAAGGCTAAAGTTAACAACGTGGCCATTTTTAATTTTCTGAACCAGCAATTAGAACTTGTCTCATATAATTATTTTCTCATCTCATTGCCCAAGCAGCCAGAGAGTCATACAACCCAGTGGCCCTTGCTGTGTTTGTTATTGCCGCTGCTTCTACTACATTGTTACATTTACTTGAGGACAGTTGTGGGATTCAACTAATTTAACAACCAGTTCTTCCTAATGACTGGATGGGCGTGGCTGGGAAGGTCATGTGACTGAGTGGGCATGGCCAACTTGATGTCACTCACGGCAAGGTGGGGTGGCACAGGCAGTCTGAAGTGGCGGTGGCTGTAGCCTTAGATTTAGCTTCGTACAGCAACAGCAATAGTGATTCTCCATTTCCTCATCCCTTGTTGGGTCTCACTGCCCAACAGTCAGGGATTTTTAAAAAGATTTTTGCAGCAGGAAACTGCGGGTGGCCACTTCCAACCTTTGTTGATGCAGCTGGGCATGATTCTGCCCTGAGACACTGGCCTGCCAATGCCGCCACCTCTTTGCCAGCGCGAATAGCTTGCTGTTGCCACCTCTTTGCTAGTGCAAATGGCTGCCGCCGCCACCTCTTTACCACTGTGAATAGTTTGCAGATACTGCCGCCTCGGTTTGGACTGGCAAAGAGGTGGCAGCGGCAGTTTGGGTCAGCAAAGAGGTAGTGGTGGCAGGCCAGTCATGACAGCAAAGAGGTGGTGGCAGTGGTTTGGGTTGGCAAGAGGCAGTGGCGGCAGGCCGTTTGCACCAGCAAAGAGGCGGTAGTAGTTTGGGCCGTTTGCACCAGCAAAGAGGTGGTGGCTACAGGGCATTCGCGCCAGCAAAGAGGTGGCAGTGGCTGTTTGGGCTGGCAAAGAGACAACGGCAGCAGGCCATTTCCATTAGCAAAGAGGTGGCGGTGGCAGTGTGGTCCTGCAAAGAGACAGCAGCAAGCCGTTTGTGCTGGCAAAGAGACGGTGGCGAGGGCAGGCTGTTCAGGCCAGCAAAGAGGCGAAGGAAGGCTCACCAGGCAGCCAGGGAACTGGGCTGCATGGGAACCAGTGGAGCATAGCAAAGGAGTTTGGCTGTGTGGGAGACCAGGCCAAAGGCAGGCAAGTGGGCTGGGCCACGTGGGCCACGTGGTCGAGGCAAGCAAGCTAGGGAGCGGCAGCTATGCCACGACCAAGGCGGGCAAGGCAACATAAGGAGTGGCTGGGATTCCTGGGAGGGGTGGGTGGTGGGTGGGACAGTCGGGGCCAGTCAGTGGTGGGATTAGCTGGTTCTCTGAACTGCACAAAAAGTTAATAACCAGTTCGACCGAATTGGTACAAACTGGCTGAATCCCACCGCTGCTTGAGTATGGATGCAATAAATTAAGGAAACATCTGTATTTGATTTGCATTTGAAGAGACTGCCACAACATTTGATTGCAGAGCAGAGGTAGTTCTCACAACTGAGCCCAAAATTTCTCTTGCTAAGCAAGACGGTTGTTAAGTGAGTTTTGCCCCATTTTATGACCTTTTTTGCCACAGTTGTTAAATGAATCACTACGGTTGTTAAGTGAATCTGGCTTCCTCACTGACTTTGTGAGAAGGTCGCAAAAAGTGATCACAGGACTCTGAGACACCGCAATGGTCATAACTATGAACCAATTGTCAATGCATCTGGAATTTGATCATGTGACCACGGGGATGCTACAGTGGTTGTAAGTGTGGAAAAACTACCTGGAATCTAACAATCTTCACCCCTTTTGAGCCAAGAACTGTTAATTAACTTGACTGATGTGCTTGAGTCTACAGTTCCTCAAAGTACAGGTATTCCTCAACTTACGACCACAATTAAGCCCAACATTTCTGTGGCTAAGGGAGAAATTAGTTAAGTGAATTTTGTCTCATTTTACGGCTTTTCTTGCCTCATTTGTTAAGTGAATCACTGCAATTGTTAAATTAATATCATGGTTGATAAGGGACTTTGCAACCCTCATAATTGTGAGCCAGTTGTCCAGCATCCAAATGTAAATCAAGTGACCATAGTTCATAAGTGTGAAAAATAGTCGTAAGTCATTTTTTTCATTGTTAGTGTAACTTTGAATGATCACTAAATGATTGGTTGTAAGTCTAGGACTACTTGTACTAAAACCTGCTGGCCACCCTGCCCCAGACCCTCTTTTTGCACATAACTTCTCTCATATCACAATTGTCCAAAATCAGTCATGCGGTTTCCCAGTATTTTCAAGCAACACCCCCACAAAATTTGTAATGTAGACTTTAATATTGGCTTAATATAGTTTCAGAAGCAAAGGAAACATCTCAAAACGCTTCTCATTCTAACACATGGGAGCAAATTCTTATCTTTGTAGCATCACCCTGAGCTACTTTGCACGATTGCCCTACTCAGAGAGATTGACAGTCCTCCTCATACTTTGCCATGTACAGCTTCCGGCAACCAAAAATTGTCCACCCCAATCTTATCTTTTGCTTCAAGTTGTAAACGCCTTTCAGAGTCCATGACCATGATTGTAGTCGCTTAGTTAAGATGCCAACTTTTGTTAAGAATGTCACCCTGGAAACAGGTAAAACCAGAAGATAAGAAGCTGCATGACTTATGAGACAGAATTGCACAACTGTACAACATGAACAGGAGTTCATAATAGGGTATTCCTTCTATTTTTCTCCTCAAAAACAACCCTTGAATTGAGAGGTTGGCTCAAAGTCCATGGCTCAGAGTAGACCAGAATGTAGTCTCTAGGATCCTAATCTAGCA